GCCAGCCTGGGCTACACAGTGAGTTTGAGGCCAGCCTGAACTAAGTGGTGATACCCTGTCTAGGGGGAGGAGGAACCTTTGGCTTAAAAGGTTCATCAACAGACACATTTCTTGTAAAATCCATGGCCTGAAGAGTCAAGACCTACCCCACCCACATCTCTGTACTACCCAGCCCCGCCCTGCGTCCCCAGCACGTTTCCATCCCACAAGGCAGGCAGCTTTGCTCTACAACCCTTGGCCTTTGCAGGCAATTAGCCTGGGCTGCTCCTCTCCATTCAGGGCCTGCGCCCCAGCTGCCCTGTCTATACCAGAATGCGGGTGGATGTGCACCAGCCAAGGATGCCTCGGCCACCGATACCAATGTTTCTCTGCATGCTCAAATAAACCCGCTGTTTGTTCGTGATACTTTGTCTCTGCTGTGTGTGTGTGTGTGTGTGTGTGTGTGTGTGTGTGTACACGCAGGTACCTCTATGTGTGGGTGATGATTGGGGGTGCTGGGGATGGACCCCAGAACCTTCACAATGAGTTACATCCCCAGGCCTTATTTTTTATTTTGAGACAGTCTTACTAAGTCACTATGTTGCCTAGACTGGGCTTGAACTTGCAGTCCTCCTGCCTCAACCTCCCAGAGTGCTAAGATTACACACTGGCACTACCACCGCTGGCTTCACATTTACTGTTTATCTCCTTACTAGCACCACCGGCTCCCCCAGGGGCAAGGGCCTTGTCCTGCTTCTGCCCAGTGTGTGGGTCCGTGGAATGGGATTGCTAGGAAAGGAAGAGTTCTTTCCTCTGAGGTTGTGACATGAGATGCAGCAACTACCTCTCTTACGGCTGTGTTGCCATCTCCCAGTCGGGTTCAGGACCGTGCGTTCGAGCCCTAGCATCCTGCTCAGGAGACCTTCTACTCCAGACACAAGGTCTCCCTCGCCAGCAAGGGTCCTCCCTCTGCACAAAGCACTGATGTGATTCCCACAGCCTCCCCAGCACTCTCATACCCTCTGCTACCTTTCTGCCCATAACCCAGCCACACATCTGCCCCCAGTACTGACCCCACACTCCAAAAATCCCACGTTCCTTCAAGATTTTGTTCCACTTCCTTGAGAAAAATGAAAAGATGCAGAATACCTGTGTGTGGCACTGTATACCTGTAATACCAGTATTAGGGAAGCTGAGGCAGGAGAACCACAAGTTCAAGGCCAGCCCAGGCAATTTAGCAAGACCCTGTTTCAGAAAAACCCTGGGGGGATGTAGCTCAGTGGTACAGCACTTGCCTAGAGGGGTTTAATTCCCAGTACTAGAGCTGGGGGTGGGAGCAGTGAACAAAGTCTTTAATGTGTATGTAGCCCAGGATGACCTTGAACTGGCGTAGTCCTCCTGCCTCAGCCTGCTGAGGGATGGGATTTCTGGTGCATACCACCATGCCCAGCTAATTACTTTCATTTTTAAAAGGGGCATTTCAGGGCTAGGGATCTAGCTCAGTTGCACAAGTGCCTGCCTGGCAAGTGCAACGTCCTGAGTTCGATTCCCAGCACCAAAACAAAGAAAAAAAAAAGGTACCTAAAAGGGGCATTTAAAAGAAGGCCGGGTGTGGTGGCACATGCCTATAATCCCAACACTCAGGAGGCTGAGGCAGGAGGATCGTTGCAAGTTTGAGACCAGCCTGGGCTACAAAGTGTGCTCAAGGCCAGCCTGAACTGCATATCGAGACCCTGTCTCAAAAAGATAAAAGAAAGCTTCTCAGTCCTTGGTGCTTTAAATTCAAACAAATAAACTAGGCATGGTGGCTCATGCCAGTAATTCCAGCACTGAAAAGGCTGAGACAAGAGGATCTCTACAAGTTCAAGGCCAGCGTGGGCTACATAGTAAGTTCAATGCCAGCCTGAACTACATAGCAAGACCGTCTCTAAATAAGTAACTTAAAATGTCATGACAAATGCTCTGAGGTCTCTCTCACAGCCTTATATTCTAGTCATCCCTCCCACCTGAGCATCAGCTCTAGGTAAAAAAATAAGTTTAAAAAAAGGAAAAAGAAAAAAATGATTCCTGTCTGTGAGCAGAGGCCAGTAACTGCTTCAGGTGCCTCGGACTCATCAGTCTCTCTTTGGTGTTGGAACTGAACCTAGGCCCTTGTGCACGCTAAGCATGTGCTCTAGGCTTATACACCCCGATTTTAATTTCAAAATTGTATTGGTTGTGATCCTAAATAGGAGTGTGTGTTTTAGACTAGAAATTCTTTTTTGGCTACCATGTGTCTTCACAAATAGCCCACTCTATGATGTAGGGTATACTTTTTGTCCCGTTTTTTCCTACTTTCACTTGGTCTAAACTTGCTCCGCAGTCTGTTTTTTCCTACCTTTATTTTTTT